TCTTTAAAGAAAGTGTAATCCCAAATATAAATATATGCGATTTGACCACTTTCTAAACGGCATTGTGGATCATAACCGTATGCCAATTCTTCTTCTTCAATTTCAAATCGTTAATATCTACTGGCAGAAGTTTTAAAACATCTGTGTTTTAAATTGAAGAGGGCAATAAAACTCCGGTATGAAATACCAATTCCAATGGAAAAATCATTCTTAATAGTTACGTTTTTATCTCCAAATTGACCGTAAGACCTTCCTGAAAGCGTAAGAAGTATTTCTTGTAAAACCCATAAACTACAAACAAGGAGCCTTGGAGTCAGCAACATACATTTCTTTCTGTAATTTCAGGATACAGAAAGGTGATAAATCATTTCAGTTACCGAACTGGTCATAAACTGAGCATTTACACGGAATGAACGTCGCTGCCATGCAGCAGTTGCGAAGGATACTTTACAAAACATACGGTAATGTTTATAGCATGCGTTTCTCTGTCGCCGGAAGTGAGGGGAAAAAGTAAAGGTTGTTAATAATTATCACATTGATTTATATAATACAAATTTTAACGATGCATAGTCCACCTCTAAACCTTTCGCGTAAACTTTTGCAGCTTCTCCGAGGGAGAAAAAGAATAAAAAACTGACTGCTTGACGGATAAAAAAGTTCTGCTTTGAAATATATTAGCCTGATGTTTCCAAACACGCAGAATCTTCTTATCTCCGGCGTCCGTCAATATATGGCGACACTACTAACAAACACAGTAGAAGATTATAAAGGCTTAGACTGCTAACGTTTATTATTACACATTGCGGCATGGTGCTATAACTGACATTATTACACAGGGCATGGCGCTGACTGACGTTAATACTCAGAGCCTGGTGCTAACTTACATTATTTCCTTAGAGCGTGTTAACCTTTAATATTATTAATTCGCGTACGTCAACCCATACGTAGTTTTTCCAACCCGCGATGGCCGCTAACAGAGCGCGGTGCTAACCGACATTATTACCAGAGTAAGCCAACCGGACATTATTACTCAGAGCATGGTTCTAACTGGAGATGACATTTTCAGAGCCTGGTACTCACTGAGATTACTCAGAGTCGGTGCTAACCTGCACATTATTACTTTAGAGCGTGGTGCTGACTGACATTATTACTCAGAGCCTGGTTCTAACTGACATTACCATAGCCTATTCTAATCCGACATTATGACTCGCGGTTTCCGGTGCCAACTGACATTATTAATTTAGAGCGTGGTGCCAACTGACATTATTACTCAGGAGCCTGGTTCTAACTCGACATTAATACTTAGAGCGTGGTGCCAACTGACATACATACTCAGAGCCTGGTTCTAACTGACATTAATACTCAGAGCCTGGTGCTAACTGACGTTATATACCAGAGCCTGGTCTCTAACTGACATTAATACTCAGAGCCTGGTGCTAACTGACATTACATTTAGAGCCTTGGTATTGACTACATACTGTGGTACCGCGTCAACTCGACATTATTACTTCAGAGCGTGGTGCCAACTGAGGGACGTTATTACTCAGATTCTGGTTCCCAACTTCGACATTATTACTCAGAGCCTGGTTCTTAACTGACATTATTACTTGGAGCCTGGTGTTAACTGGACGCTATTAATTGTGAGCCTGGTTCTAACTGACATTATTACTCTTTGAGCCTGGTTCTTAACTGGACATTATTACTTGGAGCCTGGTTCTAACTGACATTATTACTTGGAGCCTGGTGCTAACCGGGATTATTACTCAGAGCCTGGTTCTAACGGGACATTATTACTCAGAGCCTGGTGCTAACTGGACATTATTACCAGAGCCTGAAGGCCTTTAACTCGACATTATTACTCAGAGAGCCTGGTGCTAACTGACTGGTTATTACTCAGAGCGTGATGCTAACTGACATTATTACTCAGAGCGTGGTGATAGCTGCCATTACTACTCACAGCGTGATGCTAACAGTCATTATCAATCAGAGCGTGGTTTCAACTCGACATTATTACCCAGAGCCTTGGTGCTAACTGGCATTATTATGCTAACTGACATTGGTTATTACTGCAGGAGCGTGGTGTCTGACTGACGTGATTACTCAGAGCCTGGTCCTGGACTTACGTTATTACCTGCGTGCAGTGGATAATCCGCCATTATTACCCAGAGGCTGGTGCTAACTGACATTATTATTACTCGCAAGAGCCTGGAAGCTAAAATGACATTATTACTCACAGAACCTGGTGCTGGAAATGACATTATTATTACTCAGAGCCTGGAAGCTGACTGACATTATTACTTCAGAGCCTGGTCCATGACTGACACATTATTACTCAGAGCCTGGTCCTGACTGGACATTATTATCTTCAGAGCCTGGTGCTAAAATGACATTATTACTCAGAGCCTGGTGCTGACTGACATTATTACCCAGAGTCCGGTGCTAAATGACATTACTCAGAGCCTGGTGCTGACTGACATTATTACCCAGAACCTGGAAAGTTAACTGACATTTCTACACAGAGCCTGGTGCTAACTTACATTATTACCCGATCCTGTTGGGTTAAATGACATTATTACCCTATCCTGATGCTGACTGACATTATTACTTCAGAGCCTGGTGCTAACTGACATTATTATTATTCGATCCTAGTTCTGACTGACATTATTACTCGTAGAGCCTGGTGCTGACTGACATTATTACCCAGAGCCTGGTGCTGACTGATTACTATTACCCAGAGCCTGGTGCCAACTGACATTATTACCTGCAGAGCCTGGTGAAAAAGTGACATTATTAATTAGAACTCTGGTCCTGACTGACATTATTACCTTTCAGAGTGTGATGCGTTAACTGGATATTTTATCAGAGCGTGATGCCAACTGACATTGTTAATCGTGAGCCTGGTGTTGCCTGACATTATTACTCTCAGAGTGTGATGCCAACCAACATTGTTACTCAGAGTGTGATGCTAACTGATATTTTACCAGAGCGCGGATGCCAACTGACATTATTACTCAGAGCCTGGTCCTGACTGGACATTGTTACCTCAGGAGCGTGATGCCAACTAACATTATTACTCAGAGTGTGATGCTAACTGATATTTTTTTCTCAGAGCGTGCATGCCAACTGACATTGTTACTCAGAGCCTGGTGCTGCTCGACATTATTACTCAGAGTGTGATGCCAACTAACATTATTACCTAGAGTGTGATGCCGACTGACATTATTACTCAGAGCATTTTCATTTATTAACAGTGCGAGATGCTGTGACTGAGAATTGAGGTAGATGATAGCCTTCCTCCAAGGTTGTAATTGAAGATCAAGCTTCATGCAAGTATTATATAATCTCTATCTCTTTAAGAGGCAAATCTATATTAATGGACACTTCGGTCTACGGTCGCCAGTCTGTTACAGGAGATTTATATTTCAAAGAATTTATACTTTTAATTATTACCTTATATACTTGTGCAAGTGTAAGGTAGATGACTTCTGATGATGAAATTTATTGAGGCAAAACTGTTTCTTGATCGGCCGGGAGCCGTCAAATAACAACACGAGGGCCTTTAAATACTGACTGGCTTATCGGCTCGTATTCAGACAGATATGTCGCATATTCTTCCTTTGTAAAACCCGAATAGTGACTTCCCCAGATCCGCTTTGTCGTCTTCTGTGAAACCCTGGTCCAGATGGTGGTCATATATTTCTGCCAACTAATTACGCTGCTTTTGAAATGAGACTTGTGGGGTGATAAGCCTCCTGGAATTTGTGGCTAAGGGGCGGGCGTAACTTCAGTGGATTTAAATGTGCTATCGTACAGTCGAGCTTCCGTTGAAAAGGCGAGTTTATGACGATTGAAATTTGTTCACTCTTTGGAGAAGAAGCAGTTCAGAAATTCCAAACCACTTACTGCGGTAAATGCGATCCGATTCTGAAGAGGCAAATTACATCAACTGTACAGTCACATTTCCGGCCGTTTGAGTGTGAGATATGATGAGGACATATTGCTGTACAGCATGTCGCAAGTAACATGACGTTCCCACCCGTCTCCATGTATCAGGCAAGCGCAGACCGCTATGTTGGAGAGAAGGGCTGAGTAGAGACTGCAGAATAATTTGAGTCACGGGTTGGCACTCTGTCATGGCTGCCGCTAGAGACCGATAGCTTTCACTACAGACTATCTTCATCTAATCGCGCCCATGCCAGACGTCAAACTACGTCGGCTCGTATAGTCGAAGATGCCACGACTTTTTTTAGTCGTCTAATTGTCAGTCAGTCCTGCTCTTATCTCTCAAACAAATTCGTTGTTCGCACATCGCATCAAGATGGAAACAATAAGATTGATATTACCTCTTCAGGAACTCCACCACTGCAATGGCAGTGGTGATAAACGGCGGAGTAATTTTGTCACGCACTCCAGAGGTGATAAGGCTCTTCATATTCCACTAGATTAATTAGTGCTCGCCCCAGGTCGAGAGAGTTAAACAAATGATAAGATCCCGGACAAGCTGTATCGGCCCCGTCTACATTTGTCAACCTCGTGTTTGCTCTGGCCGAGTAGCGGAGTGGATGTGCTGTATCTTGGTCTGGATAAAGAGGCGATATTTAAATGCTTCCATTACTGACGGGGTCAGGCAAGTGTGTATGAAGCGGCCAGTAGGAGTAGAGTCTGTTCCACTGGTTCCATCTGCACAACCTGCATATTCCTAAAAACACACATAAGGGTATGCCCCATTGGGGTATGCCCCCATCAGGGTATCCCCCCATCAGGGTATGCCCCAATTGGGGTATGCCCCCATCAGGGTATCCCCCCATCAGGGTATGCCCCAATTAGGGTATGCCCCCATCAGGGTATCTCCCAATCAGGGTATGCCCCCGTTAGGGTATGCCCAATCAGGGTATGCCCCATCAGGAATGCCCCAATCAGGGTATGCCAAATCGGGTATGCCCCCATCAGGGTATGCCCCATTAGGGTATGCCCCCCTCAGGGTATGCCCCCATTAGGGTATGCCCCCTCAGGGTATGCCCCCACCAGGGTATGCCCCCATCAGGGTATCTCCCAATCAGGGTATGCCCCCGTTAGGGTATGCCCAATCAGGGTATGCCCCATCAGAGAATGCCCCCATCAGGGTATGGCTCCATCACGGTATGCCCCCATCAGGGTATATCCCCATCAGGGTATGCCTCATCCATCAGGACATGCCCTCATCAGGGTATGCCTGCACCAGGGTATGCCTACATCAGGGTATGCCCCCATCTGAGTATGCCCCATCAGGGGTATGCCTCCATCACGGTATGCCCCCATCAGGGTATATCCCCATCAGGGCATGCCCCCATCAGGGTATGCCCCGACCAGGGTATGCCTACATCAGGGCATGCCCCATAAGGGTATGCCCTCATCAGTGTATGCCCCCATTAGGGTATGCCCCATCAGGGTATGCCTCCATCAGAGCATGCCCTTATCAGGGTATGCCCCAATCAGGGTATGCCCAATCAGTGTATGCCCCCATCAGGGTATGTCCCCATCAGGGTATGCCTCCATCAGGGTATGCCTCCATCGGGGTATGCCCTCATCAGGGTATGCCTCCATCAGGGTTGGACCCTATAAGGGTATGTCCCCAACAGGGTATGTCCCCATCAGGGTATGCCTCCACCAGGGTATGTCCCCATTAGGGTATGCCCCCATCAGGGTATGTCCCCAAAAGGGTATGCCCCCATCAGAGTATTTCACAGTTCTATGTTTCTTAGTGGAAGCCTGATGATTGTTTCCTATTCTTCTATACATGTCATTAGAATCTGACCCCTCCAACGGCTGTCTCCTTGCATGAAAGCCAGGCGCACACTACACCTTGATTTCTGCCACTAGCTGTGCCAACAGGTGTGGTTGGGATTGTATCACCTGAACCAACATGACGTCAACCTTTACTCATCTAGAAAACCCTAATTCATTAAAATGTTAAACCACAATCACTACGCCAGTCCTGTTGCTGGTGTATAATCTCCTATGTTGAATCCAGCCGTCTTGGTTTTAGGTGAATCAAGGATTCTGCCTCTGCTGGGAGGTATGACGTTTGAACGGATAGAAGTCAGATGTGATGTCAAATCATTTGGCAATTATTCTGATGTGGTAATTTGCTACACAAACACATATTCGTCTGAAAGATAGATAAGATAAGATATTTATTGCACAGCATTCCATGACGGAACAGGGTATATCTATCGTGTTAAGTTGTTAGAAATAGTTCATCATATCAATACACATGTCTGTTGAAACGCACAAATATAATCCTGAAACAATAGCGGCCATGTAAAAGTGTGCGGTGATTATGCAAGTGAAATAAAACGATTAGCAATGAGGCCACTTGGTCTACGGGCTGACCTCTTCTTGTACGAAATGGCGTGTTTTCTAAACATTTGGGGACTTTAGAAACGGGGATGAGTGATGGCGCGACCTCAAATACTAAACAACGTGGCCAATTAAGCCCCAGCTTCCGCCAGCGCCATCAGCGGCTCTGACAACGACGCGATAAGCCACGTCTGCTCTCCACCATCAGCGGTGCAGGGGACAACCATACCGCCATCTTCTGTGAAGGAAGTTTGCATTATAACTTCCAGAAGCACATTGCCATTTCATGCCAGACGTTTGCTGAAGTTCGGCTTCACAATACAACAAAGGAATACGACCTGTGAGTGTTCTGATATTAGTCTGCGCAATAAGCTCGTGCCTATACCAGTTCAGCCGTAAGTGGAATCAAAGCATGGCGTACTTCTATAATACACCGAGCTGATTCCAGTTCAGTGACACCACCAGCCTTATTTCAAACTTCAGTACGCGTCCCATGTTTTCTCATAGATCTCACCTCCCTTTGAGATATATATATATATTTTTTTCAAAGCAACAGAATTTTCCCAGATTACTGAATGAATGCATGTCTCAATCCGGACGAGCGCCAGTATGTCCACAGCTTCAATTGGTCCGGAAAGGGAGGCATTTACAACATAGAGGAGATGCGCACTCGCCACAGAGTTTTAATTACCATCTTCTTTACAAGGAGATACATAAGTTCTATCATGGAACATATCTGCCTGTGTTACTATCATTAGAGGTCACCCAGCTTCATGAGTAGGGAATGTGGCTCCACCTTGAGATGACAACTTTATCAGAAGAGTAGTTGACGTCACCTGGAGGTGACAACTTCAGAGTGCCACATAGAGGTGTCACCTGTAAAGTGGAGACGCCACATAGAGGTGACAACTTCATCAGTAAAGTGAGACGCCACATGGAGGTGACAACTTCATCAGTCAAAAAGTGAGACGCCACATGGAGGTGACAACTTCATCAGTAAAGTGAGACGCCACATGGAGGTGACAACTTCATCAGTAAAGTGAGACGCCACATGGAGGTGACAACTTCATCAGTAAAGTGAGACGCCACATGGAGGTGACAACGTCATCAGTAAAGTGAGACGCCACATGGAGGTGACAACTTCATCAGTAAAGTGAGACGCCACATGGAGGTGACAACTTCATCAGTAAAGTGAGACGCCACATGGAGGTGACAACGTCATCAGTAAAGTGAGACGCCACATGGAGGTGACAACGTCATCAGTAAAGTGAGACGCCACATGGAGGTGACAACGTGACAATCATCAGTAAAGTGAGACGCCAATATGGAGGTGACAACGTCATCAGTAAAGTGAGACGCCACATGGAGGTGACAACGTCATCAGTAAAGTGAGACGCCACATGGCCACATGGGGTGACAACTTCATCAGTAAAGTGAGACGCCACATGGAGGTGACAACGTCATCAGTAAAAGTGAGACGCCACATGGAGGTGACAACGTCATCAGTAAAGTGAGACGCCACATGGAGGTGACAACGTCATCAGTAAAGTGAGACGCCACATGGAGGTCACAACGTCATCATCAGTAAAGTGAGACGCCACATGGATAACCAACGTCATCAGTAAAAGTGGACGCAACATGAGGCAAGACAACTTCATCAGTAAAGTGAGACGCCACATGGAGGTGACAACTTTATCAGTAAAGTGAGACGCCACTTGGAGCTGACAACTTTCATTAGAGAATGTGAACCCACCTAGAAATAAAAAGGTGTTTATCATGATATCGTAATAGCAAGGTCTGCCTTATACGTCTTATGAGATGTTCAAGTGAGCGTGTTTGCCCCTTCTTCCCTGCCCATCGATTATAAACATTTACGTCCTTGACATGAAAACGTAGAAGTACAATCCCTGCTACAGTATTTCTGTGGAAACGAATGTCGATGCATGCACTGTTTGTGCTTTGCAAAATGTATCTTGCATCAGAATATAATTTGGTATTGTTTTGGTTGTATTTCGCAATATTTATTATACGACTTTCTTTTCCACATACCCACATTTCTTCCTACTTGTCGGCAAGTAAATGATCCCAGACATCACGCGTGCCTCTGAACGCGTCCCTCACTGAATTGAATTTTTATGTCAGCATGGCTGCCTGTTCAGATATGTTTAAACTGTTGCATTTCCCAACAATAAACATAGATTTTGTACGTGTGAGAGATCTTAATTTCAAACTTATAATTTAGGTAATCTTCAATATATTTTGACTTGTAAACCTCGAACACACAAAATATGAAGATGAATTTCCAGATTAGGAAAAGGCTCCAGTCCAGATCCAAGTTCTCGAACTCTACCTCCTCTTTAGACTAACAACTAGTCTCTGAAATGAACATATTTTTAGAGAAGAAAAGACAAACATTTCATAATACGAAAAAAAATTAAATATAAGGAAAAGGAGCCCTGAGAGTTACTGTCATTTTACAAACTGTGGAATTCTACATAATCTGGACTTGCATTGGCTTTCTTGGATGTTTGTTTGAGGGTCTGTATGGCAGACTACCTCCCTCTTTAACCTGTTGCCCTTAGAAATATAAATAGCCCTGGCTCAGCACTGATATCTATATCAAATTCGCTAAGAAATATTTCACAGTTGAAGAGATATATTTCGGAAACGAAACTTGACTAGCGGACGAAGCCTGTTTCTCTATCTCCCGTTTCCTGTGTTTGAGGGGGATAATGTCGTACCCGTCACGTATTTAGGGGATAACTGTACTGTGTTTGACGAATTGGGGACGTATACCGGTGGTTATATAGCCGCAAATTTAACGTTATATCGGCGACGCACAGTTATCCCCCATTCTAATTCAACTCGTTTTACGTTGTTTTTCGTGAAAGAAATTCATTATTTAAACCAGTTCAAAGTTCCTGTAGGTCAAAGGTTAATCATACCACTCTTGAACTTACACCATCGCCAGAAAACGTAGTTCCCTTCAAACTACACACGTTTATTATGTGCACACAGACTAAATCTGACAATGATGAATAGATAATAGTATTACAGATAAAATGGACGGAATTGTGATGAAACCGCCCTCTAGTTACAGAAATGAGCGGCCCGCTGATTCCTCAACTACGGGCCATTATCAGTTCTGTTGTCAAATGACGTCACAGCAGGTGACGTCACGCTCCGTAATGACGTCATAAATCTTCTTTCATGATCAAACAGTGTTGGGTCAACAGCCCGTTGCGAGTAAGTTGTTTGAACTTAAAATTAAATTTATGATACTGTTTTGTCTTTTTTAACACAAATTCCACCCAGTTTACCGGGATAGGGGAGTTAATTGACCTATGGCTTCCTCAAATGACAATGTCTTGCAAAGCAGCGTTACCCCAATAGTGTAGGGATACATTGAAAGGTTTTGGTGAATCGGTTTTCAAATTGCGACCGTATATGCTGATTATAACGGTCGGAAATGTACAACATTCACCAATCAGAACTCGTGTTACATACTAAGTTAAATTAGAATGTGAAGTTAACAGTGATATCCATTTGTGTCGTGGTTATAATTCCTCTTCATATTCAGCAAATCTACCCTTGTTACCCATGCGAGACCAAGCTTTAAAGTAACGCAATATACAAAAGTCGAGTCGGAAAAATTTCAGCGCATTTTACAAGTAGAAATGTAGAGATCCATAGTGCAGAACTGGATGTGTGGTTTTACACACGTGTACTGAGGAGGCTGGACGATGTGCCAGCAGCCATCTTTCCAGATTCTCCTCACTTCACACAGAATAAATAATTTTACATACTATCGTATTGATCAATACAAGCAAGGGACTAAAGCATGCTCAGAAATGCTTTTTAATGTAATCCGAGTGTAGATTTCCTGTGTTGGTAAGTCGTATGTCCGCGCGGATCGCGATGGCGCCGCTGGGAGAGTGCCAGATAACATCGCAAACATTGCTGTCAGGTTTTGTCATAAATCTTTTAAAAGGTATGTCAAAAAATCGGATTGGCCATAATTCATCGTAGTCTGTCTAATGCAAGTACACAGTTTGTATAAAACATCAATCCCCTTACCATGCTCCTTTGATGAAAACAGATCTTACTGCCGGTGAAGAGCTTGGCATTTGGAAACACACATCAAAGAGAGTTGGGCATTAATTACACCTCTTGAGTGTACTCAGTTTTGCTTGTTGATGTCATTTAGGCCTCCGCCAAGCTACAATCAATAGGAGGGAACCTACTGAGAGCATCATTATGTTTGGAGAAGGGAGCCCCTAAAATAAAGCAAGACAGTGGAATGATTGATGTTTAATGAATAAGTTACTTTGTGAGTAGACGGGTCTAGAGGCTGGAGATGCATACATCCGTCGATCTAGAACTTCGTCAAACAGGCACTGTGATGTCAGTCGGATGACTCGGACAGGGTGAACCCTAAAACGGTCCTCATGGAGCACGGTGAGAGAGATGAATCCCAACAGAATCAAAACGTCCTCACGGTGAAAGAGATGAATCCCAACACGTTCAAGACGTCCTCACGGCGGAAAGAGATGAATCCCAAAACATTCAAGAAGTCCTCACGGTGGAAAGAGATGAATCCCAAAACATTCAAGACGTCCTCACGGTGGAAAGAGATGAATCCCCAAAACATTCAAGACGTCCCTCACGGTGGAAAGAGATGAATCCCAAAACATTCAAGAAGTCCTCACGGTGGAAAGAGATGAATCCCAAAACATTCAAGAAGTCCTCACGGTGGAAAGAGATGAATCCCAAAACATTCAAGAAGTCCTCACGGGTGGAAAGAGATGAATCCCAAAACATTCAAGACGTCCTCACGGTGGAAGAGATGAATCCCAAAACATTCAAGAAGTCCTCACGGTGGAAAGAGATGAATCCCAAAACATTCAAGACGTCCTCACGGTGGAAAGAGATGAATCCCAAAACATTCAAGACGTCGTCACGGTGGAAAGAGATGAATCCCAAAACATTCAAGAAGTCCTCACGGTGGAAAGAGATGAATCCCAAAACATTCAAGACGTCCTCACGGTGGAAAGAGATGAATCCCAAAACATTCAAGAAGTCCTCACGGTGGAAAGAGATGAATCCCAAAACATTCAAGAAGTCCTCACGGTGGAAAGAGATGAATCCCAACACATTCAAGAAGTCCTCACGGTGGAAAGAGATGAATCCCAAAACATTCAAGACGTCCTCACGGTGGAAAGAGATGAATCCCAAAACATTCAAGAAGTCCTCACGGTGGAAAGAGATGAATCCCAAAACATTCAAGAAGTCCTCACGGTGGAAAGAGATGAATCCCAAAACATTCAAGAAGTCCTCACGGTGGAAAGAGATGAATCCCAAAACATTCAAGAAGTCCTCACGGTGGAAAGAGATGAATCCCAAAACATTCAAGACGTCCTCACGGTGGAAAGAGATGAATCCCAAAACATTCAAGACGTCCTCACGGTGGAAAAAGAGATGAATCCCCAAAACATTCAAGACGTCCTCACGGTGGAAAGAGATGAATCCCAAAACATTCAAGACGTCCTCACGGTGGAAAGAGATGAATCCCAAAACATTCAAGACGTCCTCACGGTGGAAAGAGATGAATCCCAAAACATTCAAGAAGTCCTCACGGTGGAAAGAGATGAATCCCAAAACATTCAAGACGTCTCACGGTGGAAAGAGATGAATCCCAAAACATTCAAGAAGTCCTCACGGTGGAAAGAGATGAATCCCAAAACATTCAAGAAGTCCTCACGGTGGAAAGAGATGAATCCCAAACATTCAAGACGTCCTCACGGTGGAAAGAGATGAATCCCAAAACATTCAAGAAGTCCTCACGGTGGAAAGAGATGAATCCCAAAACATTCAAGACGTCCTCACGGTGGAAAGAGATGAATCCCAAAAACATTCAAGAAGATTCCCTCACGGTGGAAAGAGATGAATCCCAACACATTCAAGAAGTCCTCACGGTGGAAAGAGATGAATCCCAAAACATTCAAGACGTCCTCACGGTGGAAAGAGATGAATCCCAAAACATTCAAGAAGTCCTCACGGTGGAAAGAGATGAATCCTAAAAACATTCAAGAAGTCCTCACGGTGGAAAGAGATGAATCCCAAAACATTCAAGACGTCGTCACGGTGGAAAGAGATGAATCCCAAAACATTCAAGAAGTCCTCACGGTGGAAAGAGATGAATCCCAAAACATTCAAGACGTCCTCACGGTGGAAAGAAAGAGATGAATCCCAAAACATTCAAGACGTCCTCACGGTGGAAAGAGATGAATCCCCAACACATTCAAGAAGTCCTCACGGTGGAAAGAGATGAATCCCAAAACATTCAAGACGTCCTCACGGTGGAAAGAGATGAATCCCAAAACATTCAAGACGTCCTCACGGTGGAAAGAGATGAACCCCAAAACATTCAAGACGTCCTCACGGTGGAAAGAGATGAATCCCAAAACATTCAAGAAGTCCTCACGGTGGAAAGAGATGAATCCCAAAACATTCAAGACGTCCTCACGGTGGAAAGAGATGAATCCCAACACATTTAATCCGCCCTCACGGTGGAAAGAGATGAATCGGCAGCCTGAATTTGATTTTCGTTATTCTTTTTTCGGATAATGAAGTACGTATTAGCAACATGTTTTTGATGCCCATCAGATCTATCAAATATAAAGCAGACTATATCTCAACAACTGTTTAGTTATTCAGCACTTCTGAATAAAGAAGACCCAGCAGCAACGGGTTTGTGGTTATTCAGACTTGGAATTTGTGTGTCGAATAAAAACATACACACTGAAACTCATGCAATGAAAGGCAGCAGGTTCGTTTACTGGTGTAGCATTGTGCAACAGCTAATCAGGTATTGAGCACTTATGAATAAGAAAAACTAACTAACACCGGCTCCGATATTCAGTTTATGTCCATCAATTCTATCAAATATATGATAACAAATATAACATACCGTTATGTAAAAGATGCGCCTGCATTACGGTCATCTTATGTGTAGTACAAAGTTAATGTTGAAATATTATTATCATGTTTTTGTACGTGGGCCTAAGGCCTTTTCACGAAATAAACTGACTGATACCGTGCTTCCAGCGGATTTGTGTTCTAAAAAGAGCGTTCTAGTAACGGGTTTGTTATGCAAAGACTGTATATCTTTGAACTACAGTAATGTTAAATACACCAAGCTGGAGCCATCAGCTTCGTCTGATAGGTGCATTGTTCAAATTCAGTTCTTTTGAATTACGAAAACCTTGCCATCACTGTCAGTTTATGTCTGACAATCTGACAAATGTAAGGACATCTAAGATGTTTACAAGCAACTGTTTAATTTTGGCGTTATAGGACACATAATAGACATGAACTTCTGGAGAGAAGTACAGATATGGTAAATGACAATGGTTATGCTTGGAAACATAGTTTTGTGTGTGTAATATAATACTATATTTTTAAAATCTGCCTTTTAAATGTTGTAATTCATTCCCATATGCGTCAAACTACTTTATACTAAATATTATAGCAAACCATGAATACGAGGAGCGGTTGACACGGCCTCGGCTCCATTATTTTCAGGAATGGAGAGTAACTCGACATTACCCTCTACATAATGTGTTTCAGGGACTGTGAGGCAGACTACGTATAAACCAAAAGGCCCCTTCCTCGTGTAAAACTGATAATATCACTAGCTTCAGATGTTGGAAATGTAGGCCTTGGTCAGTTGACTTCCTGATCTCCAATACTTTACAACATTTAATTGAGTCATTTGAATGACCTACTATGGTTGGTAACATACAGAGTTTGATTAACAAATCTGCTGCTGGCATGTTTTCGTTATTCGAGAACAAATTACAAAAATAGAAAAAAACATTTGAAAATATACTGTATCTTATATTTCTTGTCCCATGTCTGAATAACTAATCCGGCGCTAAGCAGTTGTTGGGATATGGATTATCTTAAATTTGATAGAAGGAATGGGATTAGAGTGAATAACGAACCCGCAGCTAGAACGTTATTCGTTATTCGAAAAACCGAAAAACGAAGCACGAACCCGCTCTTAACTACACGGTGCTAAACAAGTCCTGATGGCGAAGACTGCAATGAATCCCGGTCCTCAAAAGAACATTAATTTCCTTTTACTAACTAATTATGTGAAGTATCAAAACAATATATCTTTTGAACAGCATCAATACATTATTACTTCGTTAATATATGCACAGGGAAGGGCGGATTCCGGAATGTTGCGTGTCGGTGGTAGACGTCTATGGACATTTTACGGCGGCTTCAACGTGTCATTGTTCACCAGGATTTCACACTTCTGAGCGTTGCTTTTGTGGTTGATCTGTATGACACAGTTGACCGTAGATTGTGTGTGGATCTGTATAACACAGTTGACCGTAGATTGTGTGTGGATCTGTTTAACACAGTTGACCGTAGATTGTGTGTGGATCTGTATAACACAATTGACCGTAGATTGTCTGTGTGTGGATCTATATAATAACACAATTGACCGTAGATTGTGTGTGGATCTGTATTACACTGTTGGCCGTAGATTGTGTGTGGATCTTTATCACACTCGTTAACTCACTCTGTAAGTGTGTACAAGGTTTATATTACTGCTACTGTGGCGTCATGTAGTGAGCGCTTCCCCGAGTGATTGATGTCCATAGCTGCAGTCCGTTGTAAGAACACATCGTTTCTTTCGTTACAGCAGACAACGATGACGACAAGAAGGATGACGGTGACGGCAAACGACGACGGAAACAGCGGCGTAACCGCACAACGTTCAACAGCACCCAGCTAGCGGCGCTCGAGCGAGTGTTTGAGAGGACACACTACCCAGATGCCTTCGTTCGAGAGGAGCTGGCCAGGCGGGTAAACTTGAGCGAAGCAAGAGTTCAAGTAAGTTTGTGTATATTATGCTGCCCATTTGTACTAATGGTGGCAGACAGGCAAAACACAGACTGTAACCAGTGGATGGTAATGAATGTCTATGTTGATAAAAGTTATCATATTAATAATTATAATGCTATAATTGTATGCTCCCTAGGGAATTGAGATTGATGATACGATATGTCCTCTGAGATTGACATCCAGTGATCGAGGTGAAAACAAAGCGCCTTTGAGAGGCTGAGGAGGATATTGGCGCTATACAAATATTAGCATAATAAAAATAATTATAATATCCATATCCATATGTATGTTAATTTCCATATTCTTGTAAGGAAAGCACACTACGTTGTGAGTGTTTTCAATGTATTCGTCTTGGCAATATTTCTAACCACGTACATTGTCATTTCAGGTGTGGTTTCAGAATCGACGAGCCAAGTTTAGAAGAAACGAACGCAATTTGATGGCTCAGAGACAAAGCATATATGGCCGAAGTCCTGAAAACACTCCCATAGAACAACCCATCACCCCGCGGCCGTCCCCCATGAACTCCGATTACCTGTCTTGGTCAACACCACCTAGTTACAGCCCAGTTACCACCTCCTCAAGTTGTGCACTGGCAAATCACTCTTACTCACCACCGCCCAACGTGGGGTCCAGTATAGCCTGTTTACGTCTCAAAGCACAGGAATACAACACCATGCATCACTCTCCCTACGGGCACCAGATGTCGCAGTGAGACAGGTGCCCCTCGTAATCTAATACACTTTGGACATGTCATCACTTCATACGCACATTGAAAATGGCGGAACAGTGAGTTGCTCAACACGGGAGAGTTGTGAGATCCTACTACAGGCAGGCCACACGACTATTGGTGCTATTCGATTTGTGAAAACTGTGTATTTGCTTGTGACTTTTGTTATCACAGGCCTCACTCTTGTGGTAGCTCGAAAATCACATGTTGAATATTTTTGTTAATGGTGCTATCTAGAACGTTGTCGCCTCACAGAAACTATCTGAGCTATGTCATCCAGGTTCCAGCACCAGGTGCTAGGAAGGATCTTGTAGATATTGTCACTTCACGTCGCTGTATGTGTTCTACACATCCATCATCCGTCCACACTTGCCTTCATGCTGGGTACACCCGAACCCCTGGACTGTCCATACATACATGTCCACGCCAGGCAGCTATCAGATATCGGTGCCTTACCTTGCTGGTGCGTCACAGGTGCTCTATACAGACTCTAGGAACTGAGTATACATCCTTGTAGGAAGCCTGGAGTGTGCATCCCTGGAGGAAAACCTGCTGGACATGCAGCATCAGCCGTCCTCTATCAATGGTCCATCAATGGATCTTATTAACATGTTCATGATGATGCCCCGTGTGTGTTCATATATTGAATATATGTCATGCCAGTTTATGCCATCCAAGTCAACCAGCTTCATGTTGATTATATACTATTGTCATCTTTATGCATGAATATTTAAATGTTTGTTCTGATTGTATTTCGAGAGATGTTATTTTTCCACAGATTATGGCCTTTCAGCCAGGAGGTCTACAGCCTCCAAGACGAAAGCCTGAAATATAGACGAAAGAGGCATTTCGTAGTTATCCTCGCTATTTCAATCTTAAAATGTCTTTTGCAACCCTTGGCTATGATAATAGCCCATGTAGATGGTTCCGTGAATGTGTCCAAGGGATGGGACTGTGGGTAGTGGGCTGCAACATCGTAATACGTTTACATTGACACAAAGCTCTTCTGTATCGCAAACTGCCTGAAACGACAACTTGACGACCGATATCTCACGTGGATACTCTTCGTAAGGGGTGATGTCTGATCACACGTTTGTTTATTTTAGTTTGTTGTTGACAGGCCAAGAGAAGATGATTAGGCATTTTAGTGTCGAATCAAAAACTGATGTTCATCTGGGCTCGTTTCTCACATTTATAGGATGTGTTGGCATAATTAACATCTATGTTAGTTCGTCAGAGGAATTAAAAGGGATCAGAATTTCCTTCTGTCCTCGATTAACTAGAGTTAACAAAGACAAGCCAGCTAGTCTTGGAAATTACTTGCTTCCTTGTTTCGTCGATTGGCTTTGTCATTAGATGTCCCGTAGACTAATGCTTAGTGCCTGAACATAAAATTTAATGATTTTTATAGTAACCAATGAAAAACCATTTAAACTGAAAAGGAGCCCTTGTGAGATGGGAGATTCAGGGGGAAATCTAGATTGCTTCATTCAGGGCTTTAGCATTGCAGGGAGGGCTAGGCAGTAGCGAAAATAATGTGGTTCAGGCACTGTGAGACAGACTAGAGGTCCTGATATTATCGTATTTATAACAATGAAGTATTTCAGTACTAGTCGGATCTCCTGGTCAGAACGTACTTAGAGAAAATCAGCAAAAGAGAAAAACAGCAAGAGCGTAGTTTTCTTTCAATTATCAATCAACATGTTACACGATTTTCATGTCGCCACGTCGACGACAATTGATTTTCTACGAAGAACTAGATGTTTATTTTTTGTCCACACACACGTCGTGAACAGTATATATCCTGGCTTCCCCTGCGTTGTCCACATCACCAGCACTGTCACTCACCTGTTGTTGATAAGACATGCATATGTTATTCCACCAGTTACTGACCCATTGTGTAGGTAGGATACAAAGAACGATATAAATATAATGTTTTCTACTCGACGCTACATGGCAGTGTTTCTATGGTTTTAGGATTCAGAATAAACTGCATCTGTACTTATCTTTTTTGTATATACACCACAGGCAATCTAGTGCAAATGATAATATATACTTATTTCAAACATCCTACTTGACTGTCTCGTCCACCTCCAAGGATGACGAGGTCTACAACTGCTTCAACCAGTTAGGACGGTCAGTGTCTTGGTGTATGGTGTTTTCCCCGGCTGCGGCTGCTGCTGCTGCTGCTGTTGCTGCTGCTGCATCAGGGTGATGATGCTTCTCATCTTCCCACAGGAGCTAGCTCGTACACAGGTGCACATAGATTCAGTCCATTGGTATGTACATGTATGTTTCTGGAGAAACGTGATTCACAAATAAACTATCTCAAATCCCCGACGGTTTTGCGTTGAATATTTAGACATATGAACTATTACCCAGGTATAATACTATTCTCCGTCTGTACACAGGAATGTATATGTTACAGTGAATATGTAAAACCAGGGATAATGTATAATCCCTGAAATGTTTAGAGATAATGTATAATGTCTGATTCACTCAGAGATTATACATAATCACTGAAAATTTCAGAGATTATACATAATCACTGATACATAGACTAGAATTTTAGATATATTCTCTGAAATTACCATCGTAGCAAAGAAACGTCTCCATCCTGCTTAATACAAAAGTCTAATTCCACATCTTTTGGGATCAAATATACCTCAAACTACACTACCAAACGTAACTGCACTGTTCGAGCCAGTCATGTCTTCATAGTCAACAATATCTTCACGATCACAACAATGGACATCAGTCGTAGTCTTGCATTGCCAGCTGTCCATGCCAAACATTATTCCAGGACAGAAGTAATTCCCAACATCCACCTCGTTGCCACACTCAATGAATTTGTTGGAAGCTCATGGATAGGGGGGCACAAGGTAGGATTCTCCAGGCCGTTCCGGTCCGATGACGTCGTTTCATGGGCTGTTCACGTTGGCTGCAACTAACAAAAGACTGTGCAGCCTTCAATGCAGATGGCAACCTTCCCATATTCGTCCAAGTGGTTAGTCATACAGTTATGACTTGTACCCATTAAACATTTACTCCCCATCAAAAGTTAAGACTCACTAGTGTAAATGTAGCCACTTACTTCAGGCAACTCTTCTAAACTAGATTTTGCAAAGTTTTCCATACTGTTTAAAGGTACTGTTTACACTTGAACTGATGTATTGTGAAACAAATTCGTAACATTGAAAAGATTATTGTCATGGGTTAAAAAAATGATGAAACTGGGTGAAAATTGGCGAAATGTTAACAAACTTTTACACCACAACACAGCAGTTCACATGCACGATATTTGCACATGCTTTTTAGCAATTTAATGCTTGATCCTCGTGCAATTCATCTGCATAAAGTTTGCAGTTGGTTCCCCAAAGTTAGTGGAGAAATTCATCTTCGATGTAACCACACATATATGTGTAACATTTAAGTGAGTCTAAACTTTTGATGGGTAGTATATTTTGGTAAGCATTCGAAATAAATTATTTCCATATACGTTGAACAGAATATTTGGGTAGTGGTATATGTAGTGAGATTTTGATCCCTTAAGTGTCATGCTTATTATAAACGTGTTTGAAAACCATAAACAAACTCTTTCATAGTTTAGGACTGTAAGACATTGTGATCATCCACGAATTCAATTTTGAGTAATCCTATTGGAAGTGGTAATCGAAAAACAAAATCGAGTTTCCGTGGAAGGTATTTAAGTGAAGTCTGTCACGACAAAGTGAAGTCAGATCATTGTGCTGGACACGGGGACTGGTTCCGCCCGTTATCATTATACATATCCCGAAGCATCCTGGTTAGGTGATCCGTGTCATTCATAATCACTGTTTCTCTGAAGATGCTTGACAGATGGCTTTAATGTATATCAAAATGACTAAACTGTTTTCGCCTCGCCTCGCAGTTTCTATTCAAGAATTTATAAAATCAAACTGCAAGTCAGTGTTTGACATACACGTGGATCGACACAGACACATACAACTCGAGCATATATAATATTTGATCAAAGATTTCAGGAATGTGTTTGAACGGAAATATACATCCAACTAGACTAACAGAAAAATATAGTTCAAATAACAAAACATAAAATTTAATGAAAAGGAGCCCTGGGACTTTCTTCATTTTCAGGCGGAAACTGTGGAAATCTAGACTTGCCACATAATCTAGACTTGCATAGGCTTTCTTAGATATGTTTGTTTCAGGGTCTGTATGGCAGACTAACATCCAACCTGAATACACATCAATACAAACAGTACACCCATACAACCCTTCACATCAATACAAACGGTACACCCATACAACCCTTCACATCAATACAATCAGTACACCCATACAACCCTTCACATCAATACAAACAGTACACCCATACAACCCTTCACATCAATACAAAAAGAACACTATACAACCCTTCACATCAATACAATACAAACAGTACACCCATACAACCCTTCACATCAATACAAACAGTACACCCATACATCCCTTCACATCAATACAAACAGTACACCCATACAGCCCTTCACATCAATACAAACAGTACACCCATACAACCCTTCACATCAATACAAACAGTACACCCATACAACCTTCACATCAATGCAAACAGTACATCCGTACAACCTTTCACATCAATACAAACAGTACACCCATACAACCCTTCACATCAATACTAACAGTATACCCATACAACCCATCACATCAATACAAACAGTACACCCATACAGCCCTTCAGATCAACACAAACAGTACACCCATACAACCCTTTTCATCAATGCAAACAGTATACCCATACACCCCATCACATCAATACAAACAGTACACCCATACAGCCTTTCACATCAATACAAACAGTACACCCATACAACCCTTCACATCAATACAAACAGTACACCCATACAACCCTTCACATCAATACAAACAGTACACCCATACAGCCCTTTCACATCAATACAAACAGTACACTCATACAACCCTTCACATCAATACAAACAGTACACCCATACACCCATTCACATCAATACAAACAGTACACCCATACAGCCCTTCACATCAATACAAACAGTACACCCATACAACCCTTCACATCAATGCAAACAGTACACTCCATACAACCCTTCACATCAATACAAACAGTACACCCATACAGCCCTTCACATCAATACAAACAGTACACCCATACAACCCTTCACATCAATACAAACAGTACACCCATACAACCCTTCACATCAATACAAACAGTACACCCATACAACCCTTCACAATCAACAGTACACCCATAAACATCAATACAAACAGTACACCCATACAGCCCCCTTCACATCAATACAAACAGTACACCCATACAGTCTACATCACCCATATAGCCCTTCACATCAATACAAACAGTACACCCATACAACCCTTCACATCAATACAAACAGTACACCCATACAACCCCCTTCACATCAATACAAACAGTACACTCATACAACCCTTCACATCAATACAAACAGTACACCCATACAGCCCTTCACATCAATACAAACAGTACACCCATACAGCCCTTCACATCAATACAAACAGTACACCCATACAACCCTTCACATCAATACAAACAGTACACCCATACAACCCTTCACATCAATACAAACAGTACACCCATACAACCCTTCACATCAATACAAACAGTACACCCATACAACCCTTCACATCAATACAAACAGTACACCCATACACCCAACCCTTCACATCAATACAAACAGTACACCCATACAACCCTTCACATCAATACAAACAGTACACCCATACAACCCTTCACATCAATACAAACAGTACACCCATACAACCCTTCACATCAATACAAACAGTACACCCATACAAACCCTTCACATCAATACAAACAGTACACCCATACAACCCTTCACATCAATACAAACAGTACACCCATACAACCCTTCACATCAATACAAACAGTACACCCATACAACCCTTCACATCAATACAAACAGTACACCCATACAACCCTTCACATCAATACAAACAGTACACCCATACAACCCTTCACATCAATACAAACAGTACACCCATACAGCCCTTCACATCAATACAAACAGTACACCCATACAACCCTATCACATCAATACAAACAGTACACCCATACAATACCCTTCACATCAATACAAACAGTATACCCATACAGCCCTTCACATCAATACAAACAGTACACCCATACAACCCTTCACATCAATACAAACAGTACACCCATACAGCCCTTCACATCAATACAAACAGTACACCCATACAACCCTTCACATCAATACAAACAGTACACCCATACAACCCTTCACATCAATACAAACAGTACACCCATACAGCCCTTCACATCAATACAAACAGTACACCCATACAGCCCTTCACATCAATACAAACAGTACACCCATACAACCCTTCACATCAATACAAACAGTACACCCATACAACCTCTTCACATCAATACAAACAGTACACCCATACAAACCCTTCACATCAATACAAACAGTACACCCATACAACCCTTCTTCACATCAATACAAACAGTACACCCATACACCCCTTCACATCAATACAAACAGTACACCCATACAACCCTTCACATCAATACAAACAGTACACCCATACAGCCCTTCACATCAATACAAACAGTACACCCATACAACCCTTCACATCAATACAAACAGTACACCCATACAGCCCTTCACATCAATACAAACAGTACACCACCCATACAAACAGCCCTTCACATCAACCCTTACAAACAGTACACCCATACAGCCCTTCACATCAATACAAACAGTACACCCATACAGCCCTTCACATCAATACAAACAGTACACCCATACAGCCCTTCACATCAATACAAACAGTACACCCATACAGCCCTTCACATCAATACAAACAGTACACCCATACAGCCCTTCACATCAATACAAACAGTACACCCATACAACCCTTCACATCAATACAAACAGTACACCCATACAACCCTTCACATCGATACAAACAGTACACCCATACAACCCTTCACATCAATACAAACAGTACACCCATACTACTTTTCACAGCATACGAAATATGTGAAGAATTTGTCTTCAGCAACCCATGCTTGAGCTTTTACGACCTATGCGACGAACGGGATCGGGTGGTCAGGCTCACTGACTTTGCTGGCATATATCTTCGTGTCCCTATTGTATAAATCGATGCTCATGTTGTTGATCACCGGATTGTCGGGTCCAGACTCGATTATCAAACCGAAACATGAGTATCATTAACCTATTCAGACAATGACCTACTTTTCAGCCGATCCGAATTTTCTC